CCCGTCTGCCGCCGCCGGCCGGCGACCAAATTTTTCGAAGAACGTAGGGTTTGGTGCGCCTCGTTGAGCGCGACCCAACCCTGCTGTTTTTGAGCGCATCCAAGTATCCACGCGCTCCCACGCGCCGCTCCAAGTGTCTGTCCGTCAAAGCGCGTGTGTCTCACGCGCCGCCTTCTGGTCACCGGAAGTCCGCCACGCCGCCACCGTTGTGTTCGCCTGAGCTGTCTGGGTCCGTTTCAGACCTCAGTTTATTGTTCCAGTTGGTCTTTTGGGTCGCGGTCACTGTTCATCTCCTCCTCTTCGTATTTATTTCCAATTTTCTTCTTCTCCCATGGCTTCTTCAGGTCCTGCTCTTGCTATTGCTGGTACACCTACCATTACTGCAGAAAAGTTAAATGGGAAGAACTATCTTTCATGGGCTGCATCTGTGGAACTTTGGTTCCTTGGTCAAGGACACCATGACCACCTAGAAAAGGAAGACATTGAGGGGTCAATAGAGAATAAAGCTCAGTGGAAGAAAGTTGATTTTCAGTTATGTGCTGTTTTGTGGCAATCTGTGGAACCCAATATACTTGGAACACTTAGAGCCTTTAAAACTTGTTGCTCTTTTTGGAAGAAGGCTCAAAGTATCTATGCTAATGACATTCAAAGGCTGTATGATGCTGCACAAAAACTAGCCTCTTTGAGACAAACTAGTCATGATATGGTTTCTCATGTGGCTGAAGCTCAAGCTGCCGTGGAAGAACTAAAATTATTTCTTGATGATGAGTCATTGGAAGGAATGAAGAAGAAACTTGATAGGCTATATATGGTGATGATTTTAAGAACATTGCATTCAGACTTTAATCATGTTCGTGATCAACTCCTGACCGGTCATGAAATCCCCTCAATGGACAACTTAGTTACTAGACTACTTCGAGTTCCAACTGAATCCAAGAGTGAAAATTCTACCGCCATTGTTGAAGCTTCTGCTATGGTCTCTTCCAAGGGAAGGGGTGGTCGTGGAAACCGAGGAAGAGGGGGTAGAAGTGGCCGTCCTCAATGTTCCTACTGCAAAAGGATGGGTCACACTCAAGAGAATTGTTACTCTCTCAATGGTTTTCCAGAAAAGATAGCAAATCTGTCCAAGTCTGATCAATCAGAAAAGGTTGATAGGAAGATTCCTGAAAATGATTACCAAGAATATCTTCAATGGAAAGCTATGAGTCAAGCTCAATCTTCCTCTACTCCTACTATTTCTACAGCCTGTATTTCTCAATTAACTGCAAGTCAAAGTCCATGGATCATTGATTCAGGTGCCTCTGATCACATAGCTGGTAATGATTCTCTATTCTTGTCCATGTCCTCTCTTAAATCACCCCATCTTATCACCTTAGCAGATGGATCCAAAATTGCCCCCAAAGGAATTGGTCAAGTTTCACTTTCTCCCATGTTAAATTTAAAATCTGTTTTATTTGTCCCTAAATGTCCTTTCAATTTGATCTCTTTAAGTCAATTAACTAAATCCTTAAACTGTTCAGTAACTTTTAATGCTGAATCTTGTGTCATTCAGGAACGTGGTACGGGCAAGATGATTGGCGTAGGACATGAATTTGGTGGTCTTTACTATTTTGGAATGCAACCATCAGTATCTTGTGTTGCTGTTTTGCCACCCAAGCTTTTGCATGATCGTTTGGGTCATCCAAGTTTGTCCAAGTTGAAACTCTTAGTTCCTAGTCTCAAAACATTGGAAGAGTTAGGTTGTGAGTCATGTCAACTAGGCAAACATGTTAGATCATCCTTTCCCAAACAAACTGAAAAAAGGTGTAACTCAGTTTTTACCACCATTCACTCTGACATATGGGGTCCAAGCCGTGTAACATCTTTTGGTTTCAGATATTTTGTAACCTTTATTGATGAATTTTCTCGTTGTACTTGGGTATACTTAATGAAAGATCGTTCTGAACTTTTGTCTATATTTGTTTCCTTCTTTAATGAAATTCAGAACCAATTTGGAAAAACAATCAAAATTTTTAGAAGTGATAATGCCAAAGAATATTTCTCCCTTGAATTATCTTCCTTTTTATCTTCACAAGGTGTTTTACATCAGTCTACATGTCCACACACACCCCAACAAAATGGAATAGCAGAAAGGAAAAATAGACACCTTGTAGAGACTGCACGCACCCTGATGCTCAATGCAAATGTTCCTGTACATCATTGGGGTGATGCAATTCTTACAGCCTGTTTTTTAATAAACAAAATGCCATCGTCTTCTCTTGAGAATAAAATTCCTTACTCGATTATCTTTCCAAAGGAACCCTTGTTTCATGTCTCACCTCGAGTCTTTGGGTGTACATGTTTTGTCCATGATGTCTCTCCTGGTTTGGATAAGTTATCGGCTAGGGCTATCAAATGTGTTTTCCTAGGCTATT